TGTCATCATCTTAAATAGGCTTCTGTAACCTGAGATCAATGGACGAACTTCAAGGCCTCAAGAACCTACTGATTCAAAATGAATTTACCTTGGGTGAGGCTCTATGGATTTTGTCAAATCTTTAGAGGGATCCATGACACCCCAAAATAAAACAAATCACTGTTAAAATGATGTGTGTGCCTTCTCCATGGAACAGATACAACTATGAAGTTTTAAAAACAAAGGGTTTCTAATTTAAAAGACACTTTGGCTTGTGCTTAGAGAAGACCAAGTTTTCTTTAATTAGTTAGCGCTCTCCAACTTAATGATGTGTTGCCTCCTGTTTAGACAGGGATACCCTCAAGACTGGGGTCTGTTGGCAATCCTAATCAAACAGTGAACCTACCAAGTATTTTCTCTTTATGGTTCTTTATATCATAAGTGGTTTGGATAGGATTTCAGAAGTTGTTAGCTCAATGCTTAGCTATAGGAAAATCCACATTCACATCATCCCAGAGGGAGGACTGTTTATTTGCAAGAATCTTGAGTTCCCGCATCCTCCCTTAGCAACCAGTTTGCATGTGTCATAGCAGGAACTCCTGGCATTTGAAAGAGTTCAGAGACAATGTCAGCATCTTATAAACATGACAAGATTTTCTCCATTGTGTGTGTTGTTGCCTAATCCAGGCTGCCGACTGTACCATCAGAGTTAGGACATCTAATGTGCGTGGATAAATACCCCAGAAATGACAGTGGCACTGGTGGGCATTTAAGAATAGATTAGAAAGCTGGAAGTCCTACGCCAAAGGAAACTCTCCTCCGAAGACAGGAGCGGAGAAGACGACCCAATTAGTCTTCCCTTCTCTAATTTCCCTGATTACATATCTCCTTTTACCCCATGTGCTGTGTCTCCTAAGTTCCCCCAGACATAGACCTAATCAAGAAGGCAGAATGTTGATGCAATGCAATTTAGGAGAGAGCTGTGTTAGGCTCAGATATGTGACCAACAAGGGGACCAAAACAACAGGGAAGCCCCTGAGGCATGGAAAGTGGCTGGTCCAGATAACACGCTACTGTGCATTTCAAAGCAAATGAGGACAGAAACAACACCGCATGTCCGCTGCTATTTGGGAAACTTCATTGGACAGAGGGCAACTTTCCTGGGGACTGGGGTCTGGCAAACCAAGTAATGACTAACACTGCATGCCACACTTGAATTAGCTTATGCAGACTGGCATTTCTTTGGCTAGGGTTCTTGGAAGTGAGTAGGTGTAACTCCCGAGAAGGAAGGTAAGTTCTTGTAGATCCCTGGGGGCACTGGGATCACCAAGCCCCAACACTCGAGTGCAATAGGATCCACTAAGCCACAAAGGGAAGATCTCAATCAGGGCAGAGGGTTTTCTTTTAAAATTTTAAATTAATTTCCCTTACACATATTAAAGTCGAGCCAAACTGAGCCTGTCTGGATTTAATTTTGTAAGCAGTGAAACAGAGGGGTTAAGAGGACAAACTCCAGAGCCCAAAGGCCTAGATTCAATTCTGGTTACTCAGTACCTACTTAAAAGCTGTGGGTAGCACGGGCAAAGCATTTCACCTAATAAAGCCTCAGTTTTGCCACCAGAAAAGTGGGCCTAAGAATGGAAAATAATGTTTAAACAATGCCTGGCATAAAGGAAGTTTTAAAACAATCCTCTTGTGAAGATTAATTAAATATAAAGCCTGTGGCATGGTGCCTGCCATGGGGTCAATGCTACTGTGGTTACTGTGAATATTGTCAAAGACAACAACTGAAAAAAGTCACAGAGAAAGCTGGAGAGATCCATATGCCTAGATCACAGAAGAAAGATGGACAGAGATACAGTGACCTAGGTAGGTGCAGTGGCTCACACATGTAATCCTAGCACTCTGGGAGGCTGAGACAAGTGGATCGCTTGAGCTCAGGCATTCTAACCAGCCTGAGCAAGAGTGAGACCCCATCTCTACTAAAATAGAAAAACTAGGTGGATGTTGTGGCAGGAGCCTGTAGTCCCAGCCACTCAGGGGGCTGAGGCAAGAGGATGGCTTGAGCCCAGGAATTTGAGGTTGCTGTGAGCTATGATGATGCCACAGCACTCTAGCCTGGATGACAGAGTAAGACTCTGTCATATATATGTAGTGACCTGCCCTGAACAAAGCTTAACATTTTGCACAGAGAAATCTATTATCATCACCGTTCCTTTTCATTTGTGTCTATTATGTGGTGGTGGGTGATTACCAGTTTTATTGGAGTGTTTTATAAGCTGTTGGATTTACTTACTGAGAATGAACAGATAAATAAGGATGTTATTCAGCTGTGTCATGTCCTGGGTTCTCATCAGCTCTTCTGCTAACTTTCAGACGAGGTTAGTCAATGAGGCAAGTTCACTGCAGTGCAGGGGGAGGTGAACTGGGGGAGAGGAGGGGTAGGGAGGGGGAGGAGGAGGGACCTGACCTGTTGGGGGGCTCAACGTCCTGGAGGGACTTTTGTAGGTAAGCAGTTCTGAGGAGACGGAGACCTTCGTTATGTTGTGAGGCAGGCTTACCAGGATATGTCACTTTATCACTACACGATTTGATGGGATCTGGAACAGTCACTGTATCTCTCCTACTCCCGGATGTTCACAGTTGCCTTTTTAATATTTTGTTTCTTGAAGGCCTCTTCTTATAGCAAAGTACTTTCAATCCTAAGCTCAAGTTGCGTCAGAAACATTTTCCTTCCATTTGTTTGTGTGACAGCCCCTTCTTATACACCACTCAGAGGGACGCGTCACCTCCTCAGGAAGACCTTCGTGATCCTCATATTTACAGGGTCTCCCACCCCCACGGCCATCCCCTCATGTTACCTCTCTAAATAATATGCACAGTGGTATAGCCCAGTGTTGAGTGCATGCGGTGTG